AGGTCTGTATAGTTAAAGCTATGGTTTTCCCAGTAGTGATGTATGGAAGTGAGAGCTGGACCATCAAGAAGGCTGATCGCCGAAGAATTGATGCTTTTGAATTATGGTGCTGGAGGAGACTCTTGAGAGTCCCATGGACTGCAAGAAGATCAAACCTCTCCATTCTGAAGGAAATCAGCCCTGAGTGCTCACTGGAAGGACAGATCCTGAAGCTGAGGCTCCAATACTTTGGCCACCTCATGTGAAGAGAAGACTCCCTGGAAAAGACCCTGATGTTGGGAAAGATGGAGGGGACAAGGAGAAGGGGACAACAGAAGACGAGATGGTGGGACAGTGTTCTCGAAGCTACCAGCATGAGTTTGACCGAACTGCGGGAGGCAGTGGAAGACAGGAGTGCCTGGCGTGCTCTGGTCCATGGGGTCCCGAAGAGTCGGACACGACTAAACAACAACCATTTCTTCAAAAGCATTGAAGTGTGTACTACAGACAAACCAGGTGTCTCCCATCTTATATCTGTGCATCAGGTTATTCTTGCCTAAGTGTAGAATCTTACATATGTTCCTACTGAAATTCATTTTGTAAGTTTTGGCCCCATTCTCCAACCTGTTAAGGTCGTCTTTAGTCTGATTCTGAGGTATTAGCTCCCCGTCCCAGTTTGGTGTCAGAACCCTGCAGCACCCCACATGAGAAGCCATGAGTGAGCAGTCTTTAGCCTGCCTGACCTTCACCCTGCAATTGTTGGCTACTTGTGGATACACCTCTTTAGTGATTTCCTCTTTTTCCCATTTCTTATACATGTACTTCTGAAACCTCAACTCATCTGTAAGCTCCTTATGCAGCCAAACTGGTTTCTTTAGATTCCTCCCACTTTTCTTTCTTGTTGGAATTGTCTGCATTTGGGCCATTAATATTTCTTATTTGGGTACAAGTGATCGTCAAAGAAGAAAAAGAAGAAGATAACATGATTGTTGATCATACAAGACATTGTAAGGTCAGGAAATTCTTTCTCCACAGTTGTCACAAACCAGTGGGTCCAGAGTTGGCTTTTTAAGGAGTGCTCAGGTCACTGCCTCTCTCAGGATAACCGGGATCCCTCCCTCCCACAAAGATGGACCTCACCCTGGAGCCACTGGGTCCTGCTCCCTCAACAGGCTTCAAGGGGAGCTTCAAGGGTTAAGGAGAAACAGGGTTCAAGGGGGGGTTGCTTGTTTTTGAGAGAGGCATGCCTCAAACACATTTCCCCCTTACCTGTAGTCTTACATAGTCTCTGCAGGAATATTCTGGTTAATGTGAGCTTTGATTACACACTAAATGCTTAAATATTAAGAGCAAGTGTCTGTTGCCTTTATATGCTGCAATGTCTTCTTTTTTCTATAGGCAGCAGACAACTCAGTTTTACCTCAGGCATTTGATTGTGGTTTTATAATGAAAAAAACATTTCACAGAAAATAAAGCCCTACAAGCAATTTAACAGAATTCACAATACAAAAGACTATTCTGCTCAAATATAGACGTCATTATCTCTTTCATATATATATGTGTGTGTGTGTGTGTGCGCGCGTGCACGCACGCGCACGCGCGCTGCTGCATTGGTGTGGGGGTGGGAGAAAGAGCACATTTTGGCCTTCTTGATGTGTACAGTAGAGCATGTCCTCCTTCGCAGTACGTCATGCCAGCTGCAACCCTTTAGTTTGCTAATAGGACCTGTTTAGCTACCCCAGACAGTGACCCGTAGGGAACCATCTTGGTGGCTTCTTCCAGACATTGCTTACTAAAATGGTTTTCAGGGTATTCTCTTAAAGCTCATACCCAATGTGCCAATTCTCCTGCTCACCATACATTTTGAGAACCTTGTGACTGGTGAGCAGTGACCAACCTGCAATATGGAGACCACAGATGACACAGACCTTGGGTGTATGAGATGCTCCTGAACTGAGGAACAGTTGAAAGAGTTGTGTGTGTTCAGCCTGGAGAAGAGGAAATGGAGGGGTGATATGATAGTCACTTTCAAATATCTGAAGCGTTGAACATGGAAGATGGAGCAAGTTTGTTTTCTGCTGCTCTAGAGAATACAACCCAAGCCAATGGATTCAAATATGAAAGCAGATTCTGACTAAACCTATCTGATAGCAAGAGCTATTTGACAGTGGAACAGCCTCCTTGAGAAGGGGGTGGACTTTGTTTCCCTGGAGGTTTTTAAGCAGAGATTGGGGGCCATTTGTCCTGGATGCTTTAGTTGAGATTGCTGCATTGCAGGGGGTTGGACTAGATGACCCTCGGGGGTCCCTTCCAACTCTGCAGTTCTGCAAGTTTGTGAAGCATGAGGGGCCACAGGCCTTGTATGCCATGCAATCAGGCCTGTGCTCTTGACTGTCTCTCCAGTCTATGTGGCTGTCTGAACGCAGCTTCAGTCAACAAGATGCATGCGCACAGTCTGAATGCTCACTCTGCACTGGGGTCGACTAAGGCGCACAGCCGAGTTCTTGCAGCAATGCTGCTTGTAGAACAACTTGTACATTTCTTAGGATTTAAAAAATAAGCAAACACAGCATTCTCTAATGTGCATGCAACAGAGCAACCAAATAGAAATGTATGTAAACCTAGACATTGAAATAATAGAGATTTATGCAAAATGTAACATTTTCACTGCTTCCGTCCTTTCCAGCCGCTTTAGTTCCTCAGCAAAATGTCCCTTCCATTAAAAAAACACACTAGTTTCTTTTCCCTCATAACGTTTGAAAGTAAAAGCCTATAGAAAATTCAGCTAAATTCTATGATACATTGTGTCTTGTGTATGTAGTGCTGTAGGCTCTCCTTTTTTTTTATTAACCACAATATTGGTCTCTTTATAGACTGCTCTTTTCCATCCACAAAATGTATGGTTCTAAATATAACTCTGAATGATAGCTGTATTTTCATTAACAAAGCATGCATATTTGTAGCAATTTAAATATTGTGGAAAATATGTAATGAGTTTATACACGTCCTTCCACCCTTCTCCTTGGTGGTCTCTTTTTATCTAAATCTTTTAAGCTCCCGAGTTATGAATAAGTAGACTCCCTGGAACCACACATCCTAATCCCAGCAGAGGTGACTCAGCCCTTCTGTCCTGGAAAAAGACACATTTGATACCATAGCAGTTTACTTAGTTTTCTAAATGAGACAAACAGCATATTAAACAACCATTCAAACCTCAGAACAAGGTGGCTTATCGAATCTTGTGTGTGTGTGTGTGTGTGTGTTGTGTGTGTTTTAAAAAAACGCAACACACCATTTCATCTGCATGATCTCAGACCTTTTCCACAAATTCCCCTCTCCTTTAACACAGTGTTTAACACAATTATGTACAAAGTACTTAAATGTGAAAATAATGCTCTGAATATACAAATATATAACATTTCTAACCATTAATTTTGATTGAAATTTTAAGAGGATTGTATTTAAAAGGAAACATAGATTTGGTATATTATACATACGATGAAGGTACAAAAGGATAATGTATGGGGTCTGGAGAACCTCCAACCAGTGGGCCTCCCCATTTGTCCCACAAGGCTATTTTGGCCAAGTCATACCCACCTTGGCTAAAAGGGGCTTTGCAGGCACTGCAATTGGTCAACATTGCCAGTTGCCTCAGAAGCCCTGTGCCTGGAAACAGGGCTTGCCCACAGCTTGCCAAGAACTTTGCCCAGGGCTCTGGCAGATAGAAATTGCCCAATGTCATTATGATATCCGATGACTCTCATAGTTGGCCTGTGGCCAACTAAGTTCTCCTCAGAGACCCACTGAAATGAATGAACTTAAGTTAGCCATGCCTATTAATTTTAGTGGGACTACTCTGAGTAGGTTATTATCCAAAGTTCTGGACCATAAAGGCTCTTCACCCCTGCAATATAGGGAGGGATCAAAGAAACAGCAGCTGAAATTTCAACATGGTGGCTGGCCAGAATGGCTGTGCTCTCCTTCCAGCTGGAGGCAGCAGTGCTTCTGAATGCCAGTTGCTGGAAACCCTGGGAAACCCTGCTGCTCCGGGGCTCCTGCTCTGTTTGAGGGTCTGCCTTTCAGGCATCTGGGCGGCCACTATGAAAACAGGATGCTAAGACCAGATGGGCAATTGGCCTGATCCAGCAGGACTCTTCTTATGTTCTCAAGTTCTTCTATTTGGCAGGAATGCTGCCTTTGGACAGCACAGGTTCTATTCAGGTTAAGAAGAAAAACCCAGCAGACAGCAAATCTTGTTTTTGAGCTGGGTTTTGAGCCAAATGTAGTTGAATGAGTAAAGCTTACATGTAAACCACAGGCAGACAACCCATGATCTTCCTGTGTTGGTCCATCTGCATATTGTTACAATGGGTGTGTGCCACCCCCAATCTCTACCAAGGGGTAGCAAGAATCCAAGGGTTCCAGGCCCTCGTGCTGTGTTTTCTTTGAGAAATCAAAGCACAATGGAGACTAGTGTCTTTATGAATCATGGTCTATTGAACACATACGGTATTTATACCTGGGGCTACTTTGGAGAGAGTTCACAACATTCACATCTCAGGAGGAGCCCATCCTTCACAACAGCCCAGCATGGGATTCCCAGACATCTCTTCTGCAGCCAGCCTGCAAAGATGGTTCTGGCCTTCAAAGCAGCTCATGGAGTCCTCCTTCTCCCTCAGCGTCTACATTTCAAAAGAAAATATTTATTCTGTGTGACATTGCACTGCTGTCACTTTGGCTACCTCCTCCCTTCACCTCAACCCTCCTGCCTGTTTGATGGGTTAACCATTGGTGGGTTAAGTTTTAAGAATTGCAGGTGGCAATTCTATTGGGAAAATGAAAGAATATTTTGAGACACACTGGATGATAAAGCTAGAAAGTAGAGATAGAGAGGTTATGGAACAACCAATTTCAGAAAAAGAAATAGAGGAAGTTAAAAGGGTGGAAAGCCCCAGGAGTAGATGGATTGGGAACAGAATATTATAAATTATTTAAAAATATATTGGTTCCTAAATTAAAAGTATTACACAATCTTAATGTATTTAAAGATAACTATGAAAAGGTATGGAAAGAAATAAAAAAGAATTTAGAGATTTGGGGACAGGTGAATTTGTCACTTTTGGAAAGAATATCGGTGATTAAAATGAACGTAGTGCCAAAAATGTTATTTCTGTTTCAGTCGGTCCTGGTGATAAGCAACATGAGGTGCTTCAAAGAATGCCAGAAAGATATTATGAGATTTATCTGGAAAGGGAAAAGACTGAGAATAAAATATAAACTTCTTACAGATCTTAAAGTTAGAGGAGGTTTCTTCCTACAAAATCTAAAGATATATTATGAAGCATCCTGTATCTGTTGGATTTGGGACTGGATTAAATTAGAAAACATGTATCTTTTCGATTTAGAAGGACACGACAATATATTTGGTTGGCATGTGTATTTATGGTATAATAAAGCCAAAGTGCACAAAGGATTCTAAAACCACATGATAAGAAGTGCAATTTTTAAAGTATGGGAGAGATGTAAGGATTTATTAGAACAAAAGACACCATGGTGGATCCCATAGACAGAAGTAATATCAGTAAAAAAAGGTTAACATGAGGACTAAATGGCCAACATACAGAGAGCTGTTAACAGAAGTGGAAAATCAATTAAAAGTTGAAAGATTTTGAGGAAATCAGAGAGAAAGTAATAGATTGGTTACAATACTTTCAACTAAATAAAACTTTTAAAAATGACAAAAAGAAAGGATTTAGTTACATCATATCAAGTTTTCAAAGAGAAAAGAGAACTAGAGGAAGATAATATAAAATTACTGTAAAAAATGTATAATTTGCTGTTGGAATGGGAAACTAAAGATGAAGAGGTTAAGTGTCTAATGATAAAGTGGGCAAAGGATCTGGAACATAATATACAAATGAATGATTGGGAAAAACTGTGGAAGGTGGATCTCAGATTTACTGCATGTACCACACTTAAAGAGAATTATATGAAAATGGTGTATCGATGGTATATAACACTGGTAAAGCTTGCTAAAATATATAAAACAAGTTCTAATAAGTGTTGGAAATGCAGAGAAAAAGAGAGTACATTCTATCATATGTGGTGGGAATGTAAGGTTATTAAAAGCTACTGGGAAATGATATATAATGAATTGAAGATAATGTTTAAACTAACTTTTTTTTTAAAAGAAGCTTTTTTATTAGGTGTAACAGGAACAGAAATTCCCAAAGAACAGAATAAATTATTTATGTATGCCACAACAGCAGTCCGGATGTTAGCCCATAGATGGAAAGAAGAACAGTTGCCAACAATAGAAGAATGGCAAATAAAACTTATGGAATATGCAGAAATGGCAAAACTGATGGCTAAACTCAGAGACTCTGACAATAAGAAGTTTAAAAAAGAATGGAAACAAATTATTGTTTATGTGCAGAAATATTGTAAACAAGCTGGCACTTTGGCAGGTTTGGATTAAGCACTTGTAAGCAGTAAGGAACCAGAAAATGTTAAGGAGTAACAATTGGATAAAAATGATAAGAAAATGCTGAGAATGATGTAAGATGTAAAGAACTAATAGAAGAGGGTGGAAGGAAGTATTGAGGTTTAAAGAATCTCAAAAGAAGGCTTCTAAAATAGTAGGATTCCTTATTAGAAGTTCAAATGTTAGATTGTGGTTTGATTTTTGTATCCTTATTTTATTGTTTACTATCTGTGAAAATTTTAGAAAAATTATTTACACACACACACACACACACACACACACACACAGGATTATACAATTCAGAATTAGAGGGTGAGAGGATCCCTCTGTCATGGGAACAATAAATAATTATCTCAATTCCAAAACCAGGAAAAGATTTGAAGGACAGAGGGAAGCATTCACCACCCTGCAGAGCCCATCACCCAGCCCTTCCCAGCTTGCTTTTATGAAGCTGGATGGGCAAGGATCAAGGAGACAGGTGGTCAGTTTCACTCGTCCAAGCAGCCTTTCCACATCCTTGGAGGTAACAGATTGGAATTGATCCCATGCAACTTGACTAGACAGGACTCTAGCACTCTCCCGCCCCAGCCCTGCTCCCCTCCCATGGTGGAGTCTGCCTCTTGCCAAATCTGTGTGACTTTATCTGCAAAAAAACTTTGCAGGAGATCTTGGGGTCCTTACTAGGCCCTGATGGCAAAGGTGGTTCCGTTAGATTGCGAACCACCTGAAAGAGTATCCTGCTGCTGTTTTCTGCAGATGCAATAGAGATGGTGAAGAAGGTCCTCTTCGCTGTTTCTATCACCACTTGGTAGGCTTGACGTTGAGCTCTAACCCATGTGTGGTCAGATTCAGAGTGAGCTTTCTGCCACCGGTGCTCTAGCCATCTCAGCAATTGTTTCATCGCCCTCAGCTCTGGGGAAAGCCATGGGGCTGTCTGGGCTCCATGCAGTCGGAGAGGGCGCTTCAGAGCCAGGCCACATTCCAGCAGGCCACCAAGGAATCAGCTGAAAGGCCATCAACATGGGATAAAACATCCCCTACCACTATCTGGTAACCATTTGGATCTATTAAGTGGTGTGGCGGACCATCCGAATCGGTCCCACCTCCCTGCAAAGGGAAAGGGTTGCAGAGAAGTCCAGTTGCACCAGGAAGTGATTCGACCATGGCACTTCTTTTGTTTCACTTTTACTTAGTGTCAGATCACTCATATCCATAGAGATGAACACCAGGTCTAAGACATGTCGGTGACTATGAGTTGGGCCAAACTTATTCAAGGACAGCCCCATGGAGGCCATGCTTTCCATGAAGTCCCAAGTGGCCCCTTGTAAAATCCTATTGGCATGGATGTTAAAATCCCCTAGGACAACCAAACTAGGTGTCTCCAGGGGCACATCCACCATGACCTAAAGCAGCTCAGGCAGGGAATCCTTGGTGCAGTGGGGAGGTCGGTACACCAAAAGGAATCCTATACTGCCCCTATTGCCCAATTTCCAGAACATGCACTCAGAAAAGTGGGTCATCCCAATAGGATGCCTGGTGCAAGCTAATGACTTCCTAAAAACCACTGCAACCCCCCCTCCCCACCCATATGACCTGGGTTGCTGTGCATAAGAGAAACCTGGTGGACAAGCAGCAGCAGGAACACGCCCATCCACTTCAACCAACCAAGTCTCTGTTACACATAACAGGTCAAGTCCTCCATCCATGATCAAGTTGTGGATGACAGCCGTCTTGTGAATCATTGACCTGGAATTGCACAGCAGCACCTTACGGTCATGTGGGTCTCCCTTGTTGATTCCAGTATCCTTCCAGTCAAGACCAGACCTGGAGGCAGGGTTAGTCTTCAAACAACGACTAAGCCTGCCTCCATGGTAATGACATGGTCTGGTCTTAGCGTAACTCCTCCTCCTGCCTGTGATCACTGAGATCAGATGTACCAGTGCATCCCCTCCCCGCCGTGGAACCTGCCTCAGCCATTCTGTTGGCTGGGGCCCACTCCCAGGCAGCCCTGACCCTCTCCTCTTAAGAACAGAACTATACAAACTATATAAAACTATACCAGTTATACAAAAAACAAAAACAAGAACAAAAACTACTACTAATAAAAACAATTCACAACTATACTAAAATTAAACCAATCCCCACCCGAACACCCACCCCACCCCACCCCACAACAGAGAAACACAACAACACATAAACCCCAATATTTAAAATTCCACAGATAAAATACAATTTTTAAACAATTAAAAAGAGGAGCCCTCTTTGCCAAGTAGCAGCAGCAGCAATCCTTTATAGGGCTTTTCAGGCCCCGCCCCAAGCTAGGTGGAGAGAGGCAGGGCAGGGCCCTTCAGGATCCGAGCAATAAAAATCAATGTGGCTTTGTAGCAGAAAGACAGATGTCTAGTTTAATAGGAAGAGTGTTGAATAAAATAGATATTATAAGAAGAAATGGATTGAAAGCTGGTATAGTAGCACTGAATATTTTTAAGGCTTTTGACTGTGTAGAATGGCTGTCTTTAAAAATGAAAGCTTAGGGTTTGGAGAATGATTTAAGGAATTAATAAATCAATTATACTTGAGGAACAAGGCATATGTTGTAGTGAACAATGGTACAGCAGAACAAATAACACTAGCCTGAGGTACAAGACAAGGATGCCCCCTTTCCCCAATTTTATTTGTATTGGTCATTGAAACTCTGGCCAATGTAATTAGAGAAGATGGAAATATAAAAGGAATAAGCAATAATGGAAAAGAGAAAATAAACTTATTTGCAGATGATAGCTTGCTAACAGTTGAAAATTCGTTGGAAGAAGAAGAAGAGGCGTTTGGATTTGCTATCCCGCTTTATCACTACCCTAGGGAGTCTCAAAGCGACTCACAATCTCCTTTCCCTTCCTCCCCCACAACAAACACTCTGTGGGGTGAGTGGGGCTGAGAGACTTCAGAGAAGTGTGACTGGCCCAAGGTCACCCAGCAGCTGCAGGTGGAGGAGCCGAGACGCGAACCCGGTTCACCAGATTATGAGACTACCGCTCTTAACCACTACACCACACTGGCTCTCTGGAAAATATGCAGGTAATAGAGGCACCTTTAGGAAAAAATTGAGAAATAACAAGGTTGTGAATTAATTGGTCCAGATCAAAGATGAGGATATTTAACCATGATGGAGATGTAAAATGAAGATTTTTGAAGGAAATAAAAATAGATATAAAATTAAGAAATGTATTAAAATACTTGGGAATAAATATAATAAGAAATCTAGAAAATTTGGAACAAGATAATCTTAGCAAATTAAAGAGGGAAATTAAGGAAAAGCTGAAGAATTTTTTTTAAAAAAAATATTTATGATTTTCAGGTTTATAAATTTCAATAATTTTACAGTCATTTTAACATTTCAAAACTGGAGGAATATAAGAAAACTAAGCTTTCGTGGTTTGGAAGAATAGTGATAATTAAAATGAAAATGTTGTCTAGAATAATATTTTTTATTTAGAATGTTACCAATTAAGATATTAGAGACAGAGATAAAGGGTTGGCAAAGTATGATTAATAAATTTTGTAATGGGGATAAAAAACATAGAATTACTAAAAGAAGATGGTATAAACCCCAGAAAACAGGTGGACTGGGTCCCCAAGTTATATAACAAATCAGTTATGATATATCATAGACGGGATAACAGAACAAGGAGAGTTAGAATGGTTAGAGAGTGGTGCACAGGAAATGAGGAAGAAGTTAGTGAATTTTTTTTTTATCAAACCAAATAGGCAAAATCCCTTATTAAGAAGCATCACTAAGATATGGGCAAAATATAAAGGAAAATTGAAACCAGTAAATTCCCCACTAATTCCAGTGGTGATGATAGTAAATTTGAAAAAGGAATTTGAAAAAGAAGCGAAAGAAGAAGAAAAAAGGATTGGGTGGAGAAAATGAGAAGCAAAGAACAAATAAGAGAAGCTCTAACCAGAAGTAAAATAACTTGGTTTAATTGTATACAACTGGAGCAATGGACAAAGATGTGGTTAAGGGAGAACAAGAACTGCAAAGAATACACAAATTTTGGAAAAAATGTTTATAGAAAGGGGAGATAAAGAAGAAAATATAGTTATATATTTTTATATTTTATATATTATATAAAAGGGGAACCCAGTGAAATTTATAAAATATTAGTAGAAATGGAGGATCAACAAGATAAATTAAAAGAGGTGTGGGAAAAGGAGACAACAGGGCAGATAGATAGTCAAACCTGGGGAAAATATGGGAGAAATGCCTATAAGGATAAAAGAAAACTATGATAAATTAGTTTGGAGATGGTGTTTAACACCAGTCAGATTAAATCAAATAAACAAGGAATATTTGATTTTATGTTGGAGGGGATGCCAGGAAACTGGGACTTATGTTCACATGTGGTAAATATGTACAATTTTTTGACAAAGAATGTTTAAGGAGATAACAGAAATCACAGGGTTAAAGCTGACCAAAAGTCCAGAGATAGCAATTTACAATGGGATAGAAGGTTTGCTCACAAATTTATTGACAGCTGTGCGGGTTATTATAGCTAGGAAGTGGCAAGCAGAATATAAAATGGAAAAATGGTATATAAAGAGGTGTGGGGAAATGATTTTGAGGAGATATGGAAGGTATTTGTAGAATTTGTACTGTTCAAACAGAAAGGGGTCGAACCATTGCAAGAGGCGTTGAAATTTTGGGAGGTTGGATAGTTGCAATGGAATGTTCTCTGAGGCGCAGCGTAAATTAATAATGCAGAGTTTTTAAAGTGAAAGAATAAAAGCTTTACTGAGTTAAAATAAACTTCTTCATAAACAACATGGTTCCAAACAGTTTGACTGAGATTACATACTGACTCTGCTCACAAGTGAGGCAGACAGACTCTCACTGACATCTTACAGAGAGCACAAAAGAGAAACTGGCTAAGTCACATGCCAGAATGACTCAACAGTTAGCAGTTAGGCCTGAATAACTTGAGTAGGCCCAAATGACTGTGCAGTCCCAGCACTTCCCAGCCTGCTTTGCTGCTTCTGCTCTCATGTGTCTTTGTCACATGACACTCCCCCAAAGACCTAGAGAGCAAAAGTATAAACATGAAAAATTAACTTATTCATATACTTTGCCCACACGATTCAGCTTTGCAATCAATTCTACGTATTGCACCAAAAATCAATTTATCAGGGGGAATACCCTTGGTAGTCCGTGTGGACTTCCTAGGAATAACCACTGGGCTTTCCTTCTCTTGTTGCTCCTCCAGTTCATCATTTTGTTGTTCCTCTGATTCACTGCTTGTGGCACTTTGCAAAGTGTCAGTGTCTGAGGGCAAATTTCCCCCACTTTCTAGCCTTTCCTCAGCAGCTGGCTGCCTGAGAGGCTCCTGTGGCTGTACTGAGAGAGGAATTAAAATACTAGGATTGGCATGAACCTGTTCCCACCTATCCTGATCAGCAAATTCAGCATTTTGTGAAATGACTACTCGGCCACGTCCCAAAGCAATATGATAATGCCTGCTAGAATAGCCCTGATAGCCAATGAAACATAGCTTTCTGGTTTTAGGCTCACCTTTGTGTCTCAGAGATTTGGGGATATGAACAAAAGCCCAACTCCCCCACACATGTAAACCTGCGTAATCCGGTTCCTTCCCAAAAAGCATTCTGTAGGGAATATCACCTGTGACAGTAGTGAAAGTATGGTTCACTAAAAAAAATAGCAGTCAAGAGAGCTTCTCCCCAGAGCTTTGCATCATTTTGCAATCCAGCATCAGTTAACAAGCTGTCCTTTACAATTTGTATGACACCCACATGTCTCTCTGCAACTCCATTTTGCCAGGGACTATTTGGACATGTGAGACGATGCGTTATTCCATGGCGTTTAAGCCATGCCTGGAAATGATTACTTAAATATTCGCCTCCTCGGTCGGTTTGGAGTTGAATAAGTGGCCTTTGAAAACGTCTTTCTGCCCATACCTTCCTGGACTTAAAAGCATCAGCACATTCTGATTTGTTTCTCCATAGATATAGCCATGAATACCTTGTTTTATCATCCACAATAATTAGGCCATATCTACATCCTCCCTCACTCTCTGGAAAAGGACCAATTAAGTCAGAATGAACAAGTTGCAAAGCATGTGTAGAAATTCTACCACTTTTACCTGGTATTGGTTGCAACTTTGATTTTGCTTGCTTGCAAATAGCACAATCAAGGTATGTGCTGCACTGGTTAACATTTAAATCTTTACATATTTTTTGCATGTTCTCTAGATATTTGAAACTTGCATGCCCCATTTTTCTGTGCAAAACATGGATGCGGTTTTTATGTGGGCAATTAGAGTTTTGCTGACATAGTTCAGTTATTAACACATCATTTTCCCCAGCTTTAGGTCTCTCTGTGACCCCATCACTTGGCAGAGAAAGCTGTAAAGGGTACAAGCCATCCACCATTTTTGTAGAAGCAATTACCTTGCCCTGCTTCTTAATAAAACATTCATCACCCTCAAAAATAAATTCAAAACCAACATTGGTAAGGCATGAAATTGACAATAAAGAAAATTCTAGTTCTTCAACAAACAATACATCCCTCAATTCTGCATCTAGGCATGGCAAATAACACGTACCTATACCTGAGATTGGACAATGTCACCCATCAGCTAGACAAATGCTGTCCTTGCCTTTTGGCAATTTGCTGAGTGTTGTTGTTCATTATGATTCTGGCAGAGCCAGAGCCCAAAATGTAGCTGTCTGGAGGAATTTTCTTTTCTTTTCTTGCAGCTACCAAGATGAAATGCATCTGCTTTTCTGTCTCATGTAGATCGCTTGCTTTTCCTGGGTTTTTCACACAGCAATCTTTCTTCATGTGCCCAAGCTTGCCACACCGATAGCATTTCTTTGCCAGCATGGCACGATCGATGGGGCGTTCTTCGGTCCCATCTCCTCCTGAGAATCTGGGTTTCTGGTTAGCAGGGCGACTCAAACTCCTCTGGTCTGCCTTCTTACTCAGCTTTTCCACGGGCTTTTCAGATTCCTCCTGATACGCCATCAATAAATCTTCTTGCCTCATGCTTTCAAGAGAGGCTATCACAATATTAAAGCTTGGTGGGAGACTGGATAGCAGGATATAAACTTGATCCAGGTCTGGAAATCTTTTACCTCTCCTTTGCAACTGGAGGAATAACATGTGTAAAGGCTGGAGGTGTGTGGTTAAACATCCACCTTCAGGTAGCACAGTTCTACAGTGGTGCCCCGCAAGACGAATGCCTCGCAAGACGAAAAACTCGCTAGACGAAAGAGTTTTCCATTTTTTGAGTCGTTCCGCAAGACGAATTTCCCTATGGGCTTGCTTCGCAAGACGAAACGTCTTGCGAGTTCTTGCGAGTTTGTTTCCTTTTTCTTAAAGCCGCTAAGCCGTTAATAGCCGCTAAGCCGCTAAGCGCCGTGCTTCGCAAGACAAAAAAACCGCAAGACGAAGAGACTCGCGGAACGGATTAATTTCGTCTTGCGAGGCACCACTGTATACAGTCTCCTAGTTAGTCCAATTATTGAACCAGCACTGTCAGACAGGTGTATCTGACGTAGACGATCCCAATATTGTTTGGCAGAGTCCAAATCTGCAATGTGCAGGACCTGTGGTTCCTCTAGAGCCAACAAAATGTGCGCTCTGGCTCTATCATCCTCTTCACGTTCCTGCTCAGAGGGTTTTGTGGATTCAAAGCAGTTTCCACACAGTGCCAAAGTCTTTAACGTTTTAGAACCAGTTCAGTCTTGAGAGCCCAAGTCAGGTAGTTCTTACCATTCAGACGTTCCATCTGGGCAGGGTTGCCAAGATTAATAAACTGCGCAGGTTGCTGAGCTGACGTGGCTTCTGCTCCTTGCTGCACCGGGTCTGCTTCTTCGGTAAGCGGCCTCACCACTGGACCTTCAGTTCCTTCGAGGTCCTCACCAACAGCACCCTGATTCTCCAGCTTTAGCAATTCGCCATCCATAAAACACTGGGCCTCATAACCTGACGCGCAGCGTAAATTAATAATGCAGAGTTTTAAAGAAAAAAAGCTTTACTGAATTAAAATAAACTTCTTCATGAACAACATGTTTCCAAACAGTTTGACTGAGATTACAGACTCTCACTGACATCTTACAGAGAGCACAAAGTGAAAGTGGCTACTAAGTTACATGTCAGAGTGACTCAACAGTTAATAGTTAGGCCTGAATAACTTTAGTAGGCCCAAATGACTGTGTAGTCCCAGCACTTCCCAGCCTCCCTCCTTTGCTGCTTCTGCTCTCTTGTGTCTTTGTCACATGACATTCTTGGGGGTGGGGTGTACATTTTTATTTCTATTTATTATTATTACTTTGTCAAAATAAAAATAATAAGATTTATTTACAAATTGGTTGTGAGATTTCATGGCACATTTCAAACATTTGAATCAACAATAAAATACTGAATCAGCAATAAAACATGGCTTTAAAAGTCAGCACCAACACTTTGAATTGTGCTCGGAAGCGTACTGGGAACCAATGAAGATCTTTCAGGACAGTGTTATATGGTCTCGGCGGCCACTCTTTAGGTCTTAAAAGACTAATCCATGTTAACCAGGGATCAGAATTAATATTTACTATGAGTTATCTTAGTTCTGAGGGTTGTTTTTTTAATAATAATAATAATAATAATAATAATACAGTTTTGTGAAGTATGCAAGTGCTTTCTCCTGCCCATGGCATCTCCAACAGTGATAATCACAACACCAGGATAGAATCCCCCTTGGAAATTTTAAAGTCAAATCAAAACTTTTTGCTTCTTGAAAACAATGGCACTGCACTGTCTGTCTTAATTTATTTTTTATTATATGTTACATTAGATGTTATCCTTTGAAGATTGTTGATCCCTCTTTCCCAGCTTTAGAATGCACACTGGCCTTGATTCATTTTTGAAATTAGTGAACAGATTTGCACCCCACCTTGCCATCTCCTAGGATTAATGCTGTCTCCCCAATCCATCTGCAAAAGCCCTACAAGTATAGCTTGGTGGCTCCTGCATTATAAATAACTTAATCTAGTCTCACTTCCAAGTATGCATCATATGCTGCAGGAGTTGCTGGAAGGAGCTGTACAATGACCCATCCAACTGCCTAGGGGACTCCACTTCAGATTAGTGTAGGGTTTACTCCTTAGCCCTTTTCTTCTTCTGAAGATATTCTTCAAATCTGTGGAAGTTTAGGATCAGAGTTTTTCTTCTCTTCAAGGGGCTCCCTTCCCAGGCTGACATGCCCCACCTGCCTCTCACTTCCCTCTACAGCATGTGCAGAAACTACTTTCTTGACCATTGGACCCACGTTTGGTCTTGGCTCCATCTGCCAGAGCCTCTTTGCATGCAGAGGAAGCCCCTAACTCACCAAAGGTTTGAGATCCATCGGCTTTCCTCACCTGGTTTAGCCGGCCAGTCGAAGCCATTCCCGGGGTGTGTCCGCTGTCACATGCTGACAGCTTCTAGGAGCCACAGGTGAGAGCTGAGTGCAATGTGGGGACCAAAGGTGGACAAACTGCCCCAGAAGGAGCACGATGTGTCCCCCACCAGAGATACTATCCCTAACACTCCATACATCCCATTGAAGTTGTAAGCCCACAGTTTACAAAACAGTTGTATGTCTCTCTCCTCCCCCTCCACTGGAAAGTTGGTGTGCTTTTTTTAAAGCAAGTGTAACCTTGGAAGGAGGAATGACTGTGAGGTAGGGTTGCTTAACCTTTTTCTTTCTGGCCCAAGGAATCTTTTTCACTTACCTGGGAGTGATGCACAACCCTACATCTCATCTGCCCCAAAGTGGGTAGAAGTAGCTTGGACAGGGATTTTGAGTTGCCAAGTGGACAGGGGGCAAAGGGTTAGGCAGCCTCCCTCTCTGCCCACATCAGCAGATTCCCAAGGTTGATTTTGTTTAAATATAAAATCGTGTGTGTGTGGGTATGGGTGTATAGGTTGTGTATTGTTCTGTTTTAGGTAGTAATTCAAATGCATTAAAATAAGAACAGCACCCACATACACATTCTAAGTTCCCAGTAGATTAGACCTTAGTTAATGTGAAATTCAATCTGATTTTGCTGTCAGCAGGGCTATGCAGAAGAAAATTAAGAAGATGCACACATAAGACTCAGGGCCTGCCCACACTTGCCTTTTGCCCGATGCTTTTCAGGTGCAGCTGTGCGCGTTAAGGCTCCTTGTCCAAGTCTGCTTTGTTGCTCTGGAGCTTTCCTCACAAAAGCCTGCTCTTAAAAGCTCAACCGGCACAAACACCAGCCTGTGGAAATCCTGAATAGCTGTTTGTTGCACTTCAACTTTAGAGAGCAGGTTTTTGCAGGGAAAACACCGAGACGAAAAAGAAAAAAGAGTGATTGGACAAGGCACTTTGAAGTGTGGACCTTTGCCTGGAAAGCATGCGGTAAAAAGTAAGCATGGAGTCATACTCCCTCATATTGTTTAGGCAGGAACAATAGTGCAATTGCTCTGGACTGGTAAAATGCTGGTACTTCTTTCCAAAGCGTGTACTTAATATACTTTTTCATTAATAAAAGCATGTACTTGTGTGTGGACTGGTCTAGTGAAAAGTTAAAGTGCTTACATTATAAATATATATAGACAGGTTCCATCCAAGTTCATGCAGTTCAGTGCCCACCACCAAGTTACCAGTGGTGCAGAACAACTGGTGCCAGCCCCAGCTGTCACCCCCAGGGCTGGTCCCACGATCAAGGGATGCTCTGGGGGAGGAGTGCCTTCAGCAGCTCCATGGTCTGCTTTGCAGGGCTGCCCAGAAGGTTTATGAGCCCTGCTGCCACCCTCTGCAGGGACCCTTGCATGCGTATACAGAGCTGGGGGCTTTGCAAGCACAGGCCAAACTCACCTGCATCTCTGCCTTGCCCTGGGAAGAAGCAGAATGATAGATGGGCTTCATCAGTCTGAAAGGCCTGCCTAGAAGGAGTTTAGTGAGCAAAATTGAAAGGGATTAATAATTAGTAATAATTCTTTGAACTGGCCCACTAACTGGATTTCCTCTGCCTCTCCTACCCAGCTGAAGCCCCTATCTTGTGTTTGTATGCAGGTGGGGAAGGATAATGGTGACATTGGCACTCTTCCAGGAAAGCAATAAATAAAGAAATCTGTTTTCATTGATGAAATATTGGGCATTGAGCAGGTGTGTTCTGCAGCTTTGAGGGACAAGGTCAAATTCTTTGCAGAGTCACTGACTTACAAAAGCACCTGTTCTGAGCCTTGCCCGCCTACTTTCTGCCAGATGTCACAGTGCTGGAGCGAAGAGGCTCCTAAGGGCAAAGGAGAGCCTGACCACCTGTAGAAAATGTTTACATCCATTGGCTGTGTGTGCCCTGGCTGTGGAAGAATGAACATCGTGTACAAGGTAGACCTAAGGCACAAAAACAGGAGTGCTATAAAAGTATTTCCAAGGATGTGACCAAGTGTGACTTGCCCAAAGAGTTGAGGAGCTTGTGGCCACAATATGACACAATGCAATATGGCTTGGGCAGTTTTACTATGGAAACTGAGCACGTTGAACCCTTATATAAGTTATGTATATACTGTCCCTGACTGGCAATTAAGTACTTCTAAAATACAGGCCAGCAGATCTTCCTTCCTAGAATGGAGTATCTCTGTAGCTATTATGAGAGGTAGAATTTACACAAACCATTGGCTTTAACGAGTGAGGCAGGTGTTACACTTTCTCTGAAGATTATCCAATAGATGTTTCATTTCTTCTTCATTTATAGGAACTGGACTCAAGCCAAACTGTGAATATGAGCTTCATTGTCCGCTAAATAGTCTCCAGCTGAGAGTTTTCTTTTGCTAGTCTTTGACTCTTACTGCCTACTCACCAACCTTCCTGCATTTTATACACAATAAGTGAATTTGGGTTAGTCAGAATAATACTAAGAGAAATTCTGTCTTTCTTCTTGGCAGAAAAAAACCACGCCTTTTGTTGTTGGCATGTGTTGCTAAGAATTAAACCCAAAGAAGTTTCCATTGCTTCATGTTTTGTAAACAAGTTTTATTCATCTGCTACAATTTATCTTGAAAGAAAATCAGGTTTTAATATACAAAGGTTTTTACAGCTAATGGAACTCTTTTTCACTATTCCAGGCTTGCATATTCTTAGAGCAAAACATCTGCTTTAAGACTCTTCCCACAATATTTGCAAAGTACATTGGAAAATCTTATGGAAAACCAAGGATAGGTGAGTGGTTAGCTGATTGTAGGAGTGTTGCGGGTATCCAGCCCAACAGCCGAACTTGTCCTGTGACTTGATTTCCCTCTTCCTCCTCTTTTTCTTCTTCTAAAAGCAGCTGGGGTGGATGGGTTGGTGGGGGAGGTTAGGATTCAAATTGAGCTGCACTGGCGGGGATGGTGGTGGATCTAACCACAGGACCCATGCCTTGGCCCAAACAATCTGATCCCTTTCTCACCCTGGAGCTGCTATTGTGCTGAACACCCTGCATTTCTTTCTGACTTCCTGTGCAGGGAATGTGGGGGGTGGAGAGACTTCTTTCTTTAAGCCTCTTGAGCAGCAGGAGGCGAAAGCTCCTTTGCCCAGCAAGGGTGGGGCTGGAGCGCAGCATGGCACCTGCCCCAAGCTTGAGTGAACAGCAACAAGCTTATCAAATAGGCAGAATTTGAGGCTCCATTGCAATCCCTGAATCAGGTAAGGGATACCTGGAGGAGCCAGTACTCCCATTAGAAAGATCGCTGTGGTGGGGACAAGAAGAGACGGCATCTAATGCACTGGAATTGAGAGTGAGCCATGAAGAAATGACGAAGTTTTCTTTCGTCAAAAAGAAAACAAGATGAGGGACAAGCTTGCAGAGATTCATAACGGGTGTCAGCCTAGACTATATCTTGGCGGGGGGTGGGGGGAGGAGGCAGGTGGAATTGAAGTCTTTTTTTTAATGTGACAGGATGCTCATAGCCTGACTGGTTAACAGCTAGGTT